TATATATATATAATCATCCATGTTAATTAGGTGATTTTACCTCAAGACCTTTCCTTGTTTTTATTTTCACTATGAAGTCGCGTTTTCATACTTTTTCTTTTATTCATACGATTTACTTATATGTTTACTTGAGAAATCATGGGAAATCTTTTGTCTAGTATAAAGTACCAACCATGACATCTGCTAATGAACAGATATTTGATTGAACATAGAAATGTTCTAAAAAAAATACTATTAAGAGTAAAACGCAAAGTTTAGAGTTGAATATACATAAATATTTCATTTTTTTTTGGATAAATTAAAAAAGTGTACTTTCATATAATCAAACTGCTCTTGATTTATATTCAAATATCCGCTCGTTGAACACATAGTCTTAGTAGTTGTTGCTCGACTTGCTGTGAGTTTGAGAGTTAAATTGTTTCTCCAGATCTGTTGTAATTCATGATCAGCTTCTATATACTTTTAACTTTTTCACTAGGTCATCTAAAAAATAACTAAAAGGCAATCGTCTATAATAAGTACTTTACTTTTACTTGTCCACTATACTAAAAATATATTTTTACTTTTACTTGTCCATTTTACTAGCAAATAAGAGAGACAAAAAATAATTTCGTGTTTTACCCTTATCATTAACTACTCATTCCCAAATCATCTCCCAATATTTTTTGAAATGCTATCATGGGTAAAATTATAAAATACATACTTCATTCGTTTTTCATAAAGGAAATACAAAGTTAAAAATGGACAACTAAAAATAAACGGAGGGAGTAAAATTATTAAACCGGAAAATAATATAGGATACCTGCTAGAATAAAGTAAAAACACTGATACTATAAGAGTTGTTTACGTTATCGGTATGTATAAATTAAACTTATAATTCACTAGTGATGCCTTGTACAAAGAATTTAACGAAAACAATGTGACATTGCAGTCGGGAGTGCCTGGTAATGGTCAGTGGAGGAAGCGGAATTGCTCCCATGATTTCCATAATCCGAGAGCTCATTTACAGAAGCACACAACCCAACACCAAAGTACCAAAGCTGATCCTAATTTCAGCATTCAAGAACACAGCTGATCTCACAATGCTAGACCTCTTGCTTCCTCTCTCCACCACTCCTGCTGATATTTCAAACTTAGATTTGCAAATCGAAGCATATATTAGTAGAGAAAATGGACAAGAATATAACATTGAAAGTGCCCATCACAAGCAACTCATCCAGACAATAGTGTTCAAACATAATCCAAATGACTCCGCCATTTCTGCAGCCCTTGGCCCAAGCAGTTGGCTATGGCTCGGCGCGATAATTTCGTCCTCATTTGTCATGTTTCTCCTTTTGTTAGGCATTGTCACACGTTACTCCATATACCCAATTGAGCGCGATGGCAGGCTCTATCATTACAGTGCAAAAATCATTTGGGACATGTTCTTGGTTTGTGCCTCCGTTTTTATTGCCACCAGCATCATTTTTATGTGGCAAAAAAGGGACAATGAAGCTGAAGGGAAACAAATTCAGAATGTGGAACTACCTACCCCTACAAGTTCACCTGCAAGTTTATTATGTGGTACAGAAAGGGAACTGGAAAGTCTTCCCCACCAGTCTCTTGTTCAAGCCACTAAGGTGCATTATGGTGCTAGGCCTGATCTAAAAAGTGAGTTTACTAATTCTTGTTGGTTCACTCATTCAGAAATTTCGCTAAAATTTTTACAATTTAATATATATATAAAAAGTAATAGTAGTAATATTTAACTAGTATACATAGTATAATTTTTTCCGATAAAAGGTGTTCAACTCACCACCCTTTGTCGGCTCTAGCTCCGCCCTTACCGCTCTCACACACCAATCGTCTTGAAATAGTTGTTATGAAATGAACTAAATATTTGAATTGCGTGACATGCAGGAATACTTTTTGATTGCAAAGCATCAGATGTTGGAGTTGTAGTTTGCGGGCCACAGAGCATGAGACATGAAGTTGCCAAAATATGTGCTTCTGGCTTGGCAGAAAACCTGCATTTTGAGGCTATCAGCTTTAATTGGTGATGTTTGGGTTTGCAAAACGAGGACAGATGTGTGGTTTTATAATACTGTTTCTTTTTCTTTTTTCTTTCTGGTTAATTGCTACTCAATTTGGAAGGATTGGCTTTTGGATTGTTTGTTGTGTGCAAGTTTCTAAGTGTTTGTTGTGTGCAAGTTTCCAAGACAGGGCAAAGAAAGTTGTGTTGTGTACAGCTTAACCTGTTCAAAAGTTGTATAAAAATAATATGCTCTTATAATGTTTTACGTATAAAGAAAATAATGAGCATCTTTATGTAAATACGGATATACGTGTAGTGTATATGTTTGCATGTCTATTCGTGTTGTTTCGTCACACAAACCTAAAACTTTGTACGGAAACTAAAATTGTGACAAAATTCATTGATAATTGGAGGGTAAATTTTATTAAGGTCATCAACTTAAACTTTGTAACAGTTTGTGTTGCGAAACAAAACGAGCAACTTTTCCAAATGGGGGTAAATTTATTCAAAATAAACTTTGTAACACAAAGGTCAGTTTTCTTTCTTTGTGTAACATAAAAGTCATTTTAGTATAGCTTAATTAATAAAAATATAAAAGTGACTGAAACATATAAATTTTGGCCCAAAAATTGACGTGGCTATTCTAATTCTCTAATTAATTTATTAAAATTTCACACAAAGTCATATTCTAAATTTTGGTCATTGATGTTAGCAAGCTTTGATGATAACGAAAACTGCTGATCATATTTGAACCTACAAACTAAATGCAAATCTTAATGCTCATATTTGTAAAACTAGCACGGACTAGCCAGTTTTCGGACTAGAAATTGAAAAATAGTCTGCGTTTGCAAAGTAATTGAAAAATAGCCATTATTTTGCTGCAATACGGAAAGTTCCAGCATAATATACTGGAGATTGGTGCACTTGCGTATGAAGTTCCAACATATTTATGTTGAAACTCCAACACATGAAAAGTTCTAACATAATATACTGAAAATTGGAGCACTTGTGTATGAACTTCCAGCATATTATGTTGGACCAATATATTATGCTGGAACTCCAGTATATTACGCTGGAAAATCACTTGTAAAAAAATTGAATTCTAGTATATTATGCTGGAATATTTTCCGGATTTTGAACAGTATTTTCGTTTAAATTTATCCTTACATGAAAAGTGACTAAATTTTGATTACTTTTGAAATTGTGGTTATTTTTCAATTACCACTTGTAAATCTGGCTATTTTTTAAATTTCGCCCTTTTTAATTCACTTTCAAAATCACCAATTGACGTACAAAAGACTAAGAAACTAAAAATTGCTACTCATACTTAAACTCACTTACAAATGTGTCCATTAAGCAACATCAACCCAAAAATACTGCTTAATAAGTAACCTATATAAAAAATGATTACAAATTTTAATTTGAATGATCATGGTAAAATTTACACCCGAATGGATAGTGTAAACTATATAAAAAATGATTACTGAGCGTCGAACTTGATTTTCTCCTCATATATTATATTCGGAGCATATAAGTTAGATATCTTATTAAAATTGTCAATTATCACACTGTACTACAACTTAGTAAATAATAAATCTATTATTTTATTCAAACTTTTAACCACTAAAAATATCTTGTAATATTACATTACGAACCTGAAATTGTAATTTCGCATTTGTCTTAGTNGGCTAGGACTTCATCAGTGGTAGCGGTGACAGCCTCTCTCCCCTTTGTTTGGCTTCATGGTGTTTTGTGTATATTTCAGGTTAGGGTCGGTGGATTTTGGGCGGCGAACGGGACATGCGTGTGCAAACAGTGAAGAACAGTCCGGGAAACTGTCAACAAGGGGTGACGCGGGAGTTGGACGTGCAAGGAGGTCACAATATTGCCGTGTATACCAAGACAATTCCCAGGTTCTAATTACGGGAGTTAGTACCTCCCGTTTTCCTATTTCCCTTCGTTGTGTTAGTTAAATTGTTGCCATCTTAGTTTGTATTAGTTTAATCGCCAAATTGGCATGCCTGTAGTTACAATATATCTTCCTTTACTCTAGTCTGTTGTTTACTTTGTGTTAGTGATTTTCTTTAGTCTGTCGTAGGTATAGTGGTTGTGGTCTGGAATGGTCGAGTGAGGTCATGTCCTCGGGGGGAGCGGGGGTGGGAAGGCAGGCAAGGGAGGTAAGGGGAACAAGGGTGCCTATACGTTGAGAATTGGGTCATGGAACGTAGGTACATTGACGGGTAAGTCTATAGAGTTGGCAAAGTTCCTCCGGAAGATGAAGGTCAATATAGCGTGTGTCCAGGAAACTAGGTGGGTAGGGTCTAGGGCGAGGGATGCGTACGGTTATAAGCTTTGGTACTCCGGAGTCCGGAAGGGTAAGAATGGAGTGGGTATCTTGGTGGATGGGGAACTTAGAGAGTCGGTGGTTGAGGTTAGACTGGTGAATGATAGATTGATGACTATTAAGTTGGTGGTTGGAGAGTGCACCCTAAACATCGTTAGTGCCTACGCCCCGCATGCGAGCCTGGATGAGGAGGTTAAACGGCGATTCTGGGAGGGGTTAGATGAGATTGTGCGTCAAGTACCGCCTACTGAGAGGCTATTTATATGAGGGGATTTCAATAGTCATATTGGTTCGACCGCAGGCGGCTATGGCGAGGTGCATGGAGGCTTCGGTTTTGGGGAGAGGAACGGAGGAGGTACTTCGCTGTTGGACTTTGCTAAGGCTTTTGGGTTGGTGATTGCGAACTCTACCTTTCCGAAGAGGGAGGAGCATTTGGTTACTTTCCAAAACGTTGTGGCGACGACTCAGATTGACTATCTCCTCCTCAGGAGGTGTGACAGAGGGTTGTGCAAGGATTGTAAGGTTATTCCGGGTGAGATACTCACGATGCAGCATAGGCTCTTAGTGATGGATGTTGGTATTATGTTAAAGAGAAGGAAAAGGTCTGACCGAGGACGACCGAGAATCAGGTGGGTGCCTTGAGATAAAGCCCAGGAGTTGGAGGGGCAGTTGTCAGCTATGGGAACCTAGAGGAACGGTGGTGAAGCGAGCATTATGTATTCGATGACAGTATACTATATAAGGGAGGCTGCGAGGGGTGTTAAGGACCTCAACGGGCGTCTCTGGCAGGCACAAAGGAGACTGGTGGTGGAATGAAGTAGTCCAAGCTAAAGTGGAAGCGAAGAAGGCAGCATACCTAAAATTAGTAGGGAGACCAAGTAAGGATAAGAGGAGAGTGTGCATGGAGTGGTATAAGGTAGCTAAGAAGGAATCTAAGATGGCGGTCACAGAGGCTAAGACTGCAGCCTATGGCCGTATGTACAAGGAACTGGGGGAAAATGGAGAGAAGAAGTTATTCCGGCGAAGACGAGAGAGAGGAAGGCCCGGGATTTGGACCAAATGAGATGCATCAAGGACGACGATGGTATAGTATTGATGGAAGATACATATATTAAGAGAAGATAGCAGACTTACTTTCATGAACTTCTGAATTAAAAAGGGGATCGGGATATTGTGTTAGGTGAACTGGAGCATCCCGAGAGTCAACGTGACTTTGGGAACTACAGGCACATCGAGGTTGAGGAGGTCGTGAGAGTTATGCGTAAGATGAGTATGGGCAGAGTGACTGGGCCAGACGAAATTCCAATTGAATTTTGGAAGTGTGTGGGCAGAGCAGGCTTGGAGTGGCTGACTGGGCTGTTTAATATTATTTTTAGGACGAAAAGGATGTTGGAAAGGGGGAGGTGGAGTACGGTGGTTCCGTTGTATAAGAACAAAGGTGATATCCAGAGTTGTAACAATTATAGGGGTATCAAATTACTAAGTCATACCATAAAAGTATGGGAGAGGGTGGTTGAAGCGAGAGTGAGGAGGACAGTGTCTATAACCGACAACCAGTTTGGGTGCATGCCGAGTCGTTCGACTACATAAGCTATACATCTTATTAGGAGGTTAGTGGAACGGTACAGGGAGAGGAAGAAGGATCTGCACGTGGTGTTAATTGACTTAGAGAAAGCATACGACAAGGTTCCTAGAAAAGTTCTCTGGAGATACTTAGAGGCAAAAGGCGTGTCGGTTGCCTACATTTGGGCAATTAAGGACATATATGATGGGGCTAAGACTCGGGTTAGGACTGTAGGAGGCGACTCTGAGCAGTTTTCAGTTGTTATGGGGTTTCACCAAGGTTCTGCACTCATCCCGTTCTTATTTGCACTGGTGATGGACGCGTTAACACATCATATTCAAGGGGAGGTGCCATGGTGTATGTTATTCGTTGATGACATAGTTCTGATTGATGAGTCGCGAACCAGTGTAAACGAGATATTGGAGGTGTGGAGACAGGCCCTTGAGTCTAAGGGTTTCAAGTTGAGCAGGACGAAGATAGAATACCTGGAGTGTAAGTTCAGCACTGAGCCGAGAGAAGTGGGCGTGGAAGTGAGGCTTGAATCACAGGTAATACCAAGTAGTGGCAATTTCAAGTACATTGGGTCGGTTATTCAGAGGGGAGGGGAGATCGACGAGGATATCACACACCGTATTAGGGTAGGGTGGATGAAGTGGAGGTTAGCATCTGGAGTCTTGTGTGATAAGAGAGTGCCACTGATACTCAAAGGTAAGTTTTATAAAGCGGTGATTAGACCGGTCATGATGTATGGGGTTGAGTGTTGGCCTGTTAAGAACTCACATATCCAGAAGATGAAAGTAGCAGAAATGAGGATGTTGAGGTGGATGTGCAGACACACTAGGATGGATAAGATCAGGAATGAAGATATTCGGGAGAAGGTAGGCGTAGCTCCCATTGATGACAAGATGCGGGAAGCGAGGCTCAGATGGTTCGAACACGTATAAAGGAGAAGCCCAGATGCTCTTGTAAGGAGGTGTAAGCGGCTGGCTTTGGAGGGCACGAGAAGAGGTAGAGGACGACCTAAGAAGTATTGGGGAGAGGTGATCAAGCAGGACATGGCGAGGATTCAGATTTCCGAGGACATGATTCTTGATAGGAAGTTATGGAGGTCGAGTATTAGGGTTGTAGGTTATGAGGTAGTTGAGTCTACCTTACTCCGTACCTTTGTGAGGCTAGTATGATAGGGTTTTTGCCGATGTCAGCTAGTGACAATGTTGTGTCTTACTACTCTTTTGTTTTCCATAGTGTCGCGTCTATGTACTGTCTGTCACTTTTGCTTTGCATCTACTTTCTCATTTCCGTGATGTTATTTTTCCTATCGTTTCTATTGGTGATACTGATATTGTCTCTTTTCATTTTCTTGAGCCAAGGGTCTTTCGGAAACATCCTCTCTACTCCCTCGGGGTAAGGGTAAGGTCTGCGTACACACTACCCTCCTCATACCCCCACTAGTGGATTTCACTGGGTCGTTGTAGTTGTTATTATTATTACATTACGAACCTTTTTTAAGAAATAAATTATGTCAGGAAGAAATATGGTTCCCAAATCAACAATGTCGAAACATGTTAATTTTGTAAAGAAGCAAAATAAATTAAAGACAATTTAAAATTTTGAAGCGCATATTGCAAATCCTTCGATGCTTGTACATACTGCAATCTTAAAAGTTCAAGAACACTGTCCTCGTTAACTTGAAGGACACAAGATAACTTAATCACATCACTAATATAGCACTCCTTGATCTTAGACGTAGCAACTAGCATCTTAGTGACTACTGCCTCTTAATTCTAATGCTAATATCTCGTCATATAAAGTTTGACATTTGATTCACAGTCTGAAGAGAAACTATGACAAAACGGAGGATATTAATCTCAAGGACAAAACTGAGGAACTCCTCACCGTATGTAATGCATATCTTGATGTTTAAAACCATTAAAGCTTTGACTTTCACATTCAAGTGCGCAACAAGAATCAACATATCCGAAATTATCGTTTGTCAGGTTACTAACAGGAAAACAAAGTTGATATCACTCTGCACGGAGGTTTATGAATATGAGAATATCATCCTCGCATTTTCTTAATACAATCCAAAGATATCTATACTGTAATTCTGAGGATGGAAAAATTAGTAGGAGTCTGTTTCGGTGATGAGGGCAAGAGAACTTCAACGGACTTTAGCAGTATTGTCAGCTTGACATCATCTGTCATTAACTATCGGAGAGCTTGTCTGCTGTTTTTGGTCTTTTTGAATTCTGGTTCTCTTCTTCCATGGCCTTCAATTTGTTCTTAATTGCAGCTATTTTGGCAGTCTTGCTCATTTGCGCCGAAGAGCCAGCAACAAAGTTTGATTTACTCGTTTCACCACCAGCTCCAAAAGAGCTTTCAGCCCCTTCCATAAAATATTTCTCGCTGGCAAGCCTAACAACCAAAGGTCGCCCACAGACTAATTTTCCATGCATCTTCTCCTTGGCCAATACAGCTTCCTGCATGCTCACTTTAAACATAGAAATCAGAACCTACTCTCATTGAAGAGCAACTGAGATTCTGCAACTTACCTCTTTAGTGCTAAATTGGACAAAAGCATAACCACGTGGCTCCCCACGCTTAGGACCACGAGTGTGCCACAGGAAGTCTTCAGCTACAATCTTCCCATAGGGGGAAAACATCTTAATAAGAGCAGCCCTGGTGTAAAGAAATAATTAATTAATCAGGTGAAGCAAGTTCTCGGCAATATAAGTTACCAACGGTACAAGTTAACCAGGGAATTCAAATGCAGAGATCTATCCTTACTCCGATATTCTAAGATCAAGGTTTCCGACATAAAGTCTGCTTTCAGACTTATCATCCAAAGAGTTAATAGGATCCTGCAATAACATTAAAAACAGCCAATTAGCAGTTTCCAGAATTACTGTTACAAAAGAAGCATTCTAGAGTAACTTATATGACTAAAGGCCTGCAGTTATACTTTTTTCTGGAAATCTTTAGGCAGTGAATATTCTGTAGAACTTCTGAAAGCAGATGCTCTTTCAAAACAATGTCAGCATAAGCCAAATGTTTATAAAACTGAAACTAAATGGGCCACATTAGACCTCTCTGCCCAATCAGAAGTCACTGTGAAAGTATGATGTATTCCCCTTCAGCCCCTAATNTGTAGACTGTACCATGCAGGGCAACAGGACCTGGTAAACTACGAAGCATCAATCCGCAAGCAAAATCGAATATTTGGTGTCTAGAGTACAGCGGCCGCTTAAGACCTGCATTTAGAAAGTTAGTTTTAGTTCAAAATATTCCAACAGGTAATATATATTTCTTTCACTTCAGCTGCAATATAGGTGAGCATGAAGTCCATGCACTCTTTCCTTGCATTGTCACCATCGAAAGGAGGATAAATTTCATTTGAACTTAAGAACTCAACACAAATCATTTTGCTTAGGCGTGTCAGATAGAGAAGATACCACCAAAACCCACCCCTCCTTTTCTTCTCCCTTCTCTCTCTTAACTCAACTCAAACAGAAAACTTCTTATTCTCCGTATTCATTCTCTGATTTCCAGTGATTCCAATTGTCTTAGGGTCTACCTAAAAGCAAAGGCATCTTTCCCACGCATCCTATTCTAGGGAGACAAGAGAGAATGGCAGCCAAGTTCACCGTTTAAAGCACTGATTTCAATTATCATTCAATTCCACAAAGGCCTCGAATATCTAGGTTCCTCTCACCTCCACAGAACCCCACCTTGGTCTGGGATAGACGGAAACAGGGTCCCTACTTCACCTTTGGACCATAGATGAAAAATGAACAACTTGCCCTATGAATTTCAAAGACAATACCAACTACATAGGATTACGGATTAGTCATGTTGGTATGATTATATATGATCCCGTGCTTAAAAGGAGTCATTTCAATCTTTTACATATTTGTATGTCAATAGAAAAATAGAGAACCTCTAGTATTAGAGAATCCCAAGCTATTGAGAATTGGAACGATACGGGTACAAGTGGAGTGAAATGGATAATACAAATCATAACGCCATATAGTTGTTAAAACCAATACCAGGATGTACCCCCATGCCATCTACCAAAAATAAGAAAGCTAGGGAGTGGATGGAGACCCAACTTCACCTTTGGGCCATAGCCCATGGATACCAACAAAAATAACTCGCCCTGCGATTTTAAGTAAATTCTCAAGACCCCATGCCATCTATCATTAAGAAAGATCTCATCCGCAGCCAATTGGTCTGTAGAAGCCTAGGGGAGGGGAGGTAAACTGAACAACTTTCCTGTCAAATCTAAAAATGAAAAATTGAACTCTCAAGAATGAATACCAGGATGTCCTCCAATGCCATCTATCACAAAATTAACAAATATCTCCTTCCCAGGCATAATTTACTAACAGTAAGATGCCATAAACCTTCATTTTCAGATCATGCCACTATCACTCTCCTGAACATGTTTGATATACATGAATGATTTGTCATGCACTGCTAACCACTCAATACAGAGACACAACTTCCCCTTCCAAATCCATCGCCATGCCCCTTAACTTCTTACACTTAGCTCTCAAGTAGCCTTTCATATTCCACATTGGCACTTCTTACACTTAGCTCTCAAGTAGCCTTTCATATTCACCAGTTTTGCTTCTATGTATCATAAAGTCGATGTCTGAATAGTAAACCCTAATTTAGTTTTCTAATAAAAGAAGCTAACCTATACACCCCACCCCCCAAGTTGGAACTCACATGTTTACAGGGAAAAAGCAGAGCTCGTAAATACCACTTCTAACCAACAAATTCAACCAGAAACATTCGGCATAAATCTAGCGTGTTATTCAACATCAAGACCCAGATTAAGAGAATTTAGAGGGAACATGATATTACCAATTGCAAAAGCTCCAATTGAATAGAGCTAGAGTATTCAACAAATCTAGCAGAAAACGGGAACCTAGGCAAACAAAAAGACAATGTAAAATGAATATTGAACTGAGTTTACTTGAATTTTTGCTGGATTATTTATGATGAACTGGAACCTGCTCGAAACCCCCCAAAGAATTAACACGATCAGAGACGATAACTTATTTTTTATCAAAAGATTTGTTGGTTGGGTTTGTTCCTCTTTTTCTTGTTCTTCTTCTAATCTCTGTTATCCGACGTTTGTGTAATGTATTTGGGTCAGTTCACGGTATGTTATATTACTGGGCTTTCTTCCAGTCAGCCCAAATTAGATTTTTAAATCAACCATCGGCCCACCAGCAAGCAGTCAAACTAAGAGTAATGTTGTTTTGTCATACAAGTATAAGAATTAACCTAAATAGCCGGCGTTTAAACTAAAAATAGTCAGCATATATATAATATATGTAAAATATGCATAACCTTGAATAATATATAATATATGTATATTAGCTATAAAAAGTAAAAATAAATCCAGACGATTATTTATGTAAAGATTTAAGGTACTAGTAGTTCTATGGTCACTTTTCAATATTGATGTTTCAATGTCCAAAATAAAAAAATCATTGGGGGTATAATTAAAGAATTTTATTATGCACAATTCTTTTATTCTAATTTTATTTTTCTTAATGAGAGACACCATAATTTATGGTCACTAAAGTCAAGGACACTTTCTAAGTGCAGCGAAAGAGGAAAGATAAGGACATCAAACCTCCGAACGAGAATGTCACTTTGAAATTTGAAACATGAAAGCATTAGAAACTTGGACACAAATAATTATCCAACTAATAGCATCTTTGGCCAAACTTTTTCAAACCAAAAGTATTTTTCAAAGTTAAAGTGTTTGGCAAATCTTTTAGAGGGAAAAAAAAGTACTTTTGAGTAGAAGCAGGAGTTTGAAAAGAAATTTTGAGAAAAATATACTTAGAAATAGTTTTTAAAAGGTTGGTCAAACACTAATTGTTACTCAGAAGTGCTTTTCAAATAAAGTAATCAAACACAAACTGATTCTCATCAAAAAGTACTTTTGAAAAAAAAAAATTAGAAAAATCAAATAGAGTATAAATCTCCTCCTCACATGCCTCTTACCCAAATTTCGATAAAGACAAACTCTTTGCAACTTTCTCACTTTAATCTCCACAGGAGAATGAAGAATTTGTTCATGTTCTTCGTATCAATTAGTCCATTTATCTCAAATTAAATTCTCTTTTATACGACCCTTAAAAATATTAATTAGAAGGATTTTTTAAGTTATTTTACCCATATTATGTCTTAAGATACAATCTATCTTCATTGAATATTTATTCTATTTATGTGATATCTACATCTTCAAGAACAATTACTATTAAGTATTAAGAGTAAAATGAGAAAAAATACGGAATTTTGTTTTATATTTCTTAAATGACAAATAATTTGAGATAGCTATCTTTAAAAATCACGATAAATAATTTGAGATTGAGGAAGTAAAAACTTTGAATTTGAAAATTTTGAATGTCTATGTCCAATCGAACATAGGTTAAGGGGTGGCAAAGTAAAAAATGTATGGACCAACACTCCAAATCGATGATCTTAGTTAGAGATAACTAATGGTGTGTTTGGTACGAAAGAAAATATTTTTTTTATTTTTTTCATGTGTTGGTTGAATTAAATGTTTTGAAAAATATTTTTTTTATCAACTCATTTCAACGAAACGGGTATTTTTTCATGATGTAGAAAAAAATATTTTCTTTCATTTCAACAAAATGAGTACTTTCTTTTCATGATGTAGAAAAAGTATTTTCTTTCATTTCAACTAACTAAGTATTTTCTTTTCCTCGAATAGAAAAAGTATGTTTTTTCAAAAAATAAGTACTTTCTTTTCATGATGTATAAACAATATTTTTTCTCATTTCAACAAAACGAGTACTTTCTTTTTATGATGTAGAAAAAATATTTTCTTTCATTTCAACAAACAAAGTATTTTCTTTTCCTAGAATAAAAAAATATTTTTTTTCAAAAAATGAGTATTTTATTTTGATGATGGAGAAAAAGTAATTTCTTTCATTTCAACAAAATGAATACTTTCTTTTCATGATGTACAAAAAGTAATTTCTTTCATTTCAACAAACGAGTGCTTTCTTTTCATGATGTAGAAAAAATAATTTCTTTCATTTCAACAAACCAAGTATTTTCTTTTCCTAAAATAGAAAAAATATTTTTTTCCCAACAAAGCGAGTACTTACTTTTCATGATGTATAAAAAGTATTTTTTTTCATTTCAACAAACTAAGTATTTTCTTTCCTAATGTAGAAAAATATATTTTCTTTCATTTTAACAAAACGAGTACTTTCTTTTCATGATGTAGAAAAAATATTTTCTCATTTCAACAAACTGAGTATTTTCTTTTTCATGATATAGAAAAAGTATTTTCTTTCATTCAACAAAATAGTTAATTTCTTTTCATATTGTAGAAAAGATATTTTCTTTTCAACAAAATAAAGTATTTTCTTTTTAGTTATCGAGCTCAAACTTTAACGGTGTTCTTATGTGTAATAGTAAAGTAACACATTAGTTCCTTTGAGTTGTGAATTTTGAAAAGAATAATTAAATTCTTGAAGAAAATAGAGTTCGGGGAGGGGATTGGGGGGGGGGGGGGG